ACGCTGCATAAAAAAAGGTTTTGAAATATAGTTTTTATTTTATTTTATTCTAATACTTATCATGGACTATGGCCGTACACTAAACATACCTAAATTGAAATCGAAATCTATATAGTGATTGTCCGTCTGTGTATACCGAAAACGGGCGCATTGTTACGTGCAATATGATGATAAAACGAAATACACAAAATACTACACTAGCCACAGCCACCAAAAAAGGCGAGCAACATTTTCCATTTAGTCACTTTTGTTAGCTGTTGTGCGCGTGCTAGACTCTTACTAAAACCTCCCTCGTTCCATCTCCTGATCCAGAGCGAGGCTGTAGTACATTAACACGCTCGCCCCACCACCCCGGCTACAAAATCGGCCGTAACATCGACCCTGTTGAGCCTTATCTGTTAATTGTTTATTTAATAGGTCGGCAAACGAGCAGACGGATTACCTGATAGTAAGCAATCAGCGCCGCCCATAGACACCCGCAACAGCAGAGGAGTTACGAGTGCGTTGCCGAATTTTAGGTGATTAGGGATTTGGAGATTTAGGGATTGGGCAAGGGGAAGGATAGGGCCATCGGTAACCTCACTCACACGGCGGAACACAACGCTGTGATTAATCTGTGGCTGTCTATTAACTATTTGAGGCAAAGAACAGTTATGAAGGAAATGAAAATGTATGTTTTATTTAAACGCAAAGGTTTTTAAGTATGAATGCATTGATTGTTATCTACAATCACAGCGTTGTGTTTCGCCGTGTGAGTGAGGTTATCGGTGGCATCCTTCTCCTCCTCAATCCCTAAATCTCCAAATCTCTAATCCCCAAAAGGCGGCAACGCACTCGTAACTCCTCTGCTGTTGCGGGTGTCTATGGGCGGCGCTGAATGCTCAACATTATTCCGTCTGGTCGTTTGCCGACATAATACATAAACAATAAACAGATAGGGCCCAACAGGGTCGATGTTACGGCCGATTCTGTAGCCGAGGTGGTGGGGCGAGCGTCATAATGTACTACAGCCTCGCTCTGGAGCAGGAGATGGAACGAGGGAGGTTTTAGTAAGAGTCTGGCACTTTTACTAAAAACCCTTAAACCCGGGAGAGCCATGCTTCAGCACGAATGGGTCGGCTCAACCCGAGTGATACCACGGCCTCACAGAAAACTGGCGTGAAATAACCAGAGTTGTGTTTCGCCGTGTGAGTGAGGTTACTAGACGCCCAGTCCTTCCCCTACCCCAATCCGTTCCCTTTCCCAAAACCATTAATCCGCAAAAGGTCGACAACGCACTCGTAACTCCTCCGTCGTCCATGGGCGATGCTGATTGCTTACCATCAGGTAATCTGTTTGCTCGTTCGCCGATCTATCACATAAAAAAAACTCCTCGCCTTACCCTGAACGAGAGAAGACATTTAATGATTGCCCCCCACAAATAGTGTCATACCTACCTATACGATATCTTACAAGAAAAGGACAAGCAATCTATCTACAAATCTCAGGATAAGTTAACAAACTACTCGGTACCTAACAAAAAACTGCATTATCTATAGGTAGGATGATTATAGCATTTATTGATAAAATTTTACAATGACTTGTTTATTTCATTTCCACCTCGAAATCTACCAAATGATTACCCACCTAAATAAATACAATCATTATATAACTTGGTACATACCTGAGCAATTTAAGCCGTTTTAATTGATTGCTAATTAGCTTCTGTGTTTGGTAAATCATTTTGTTTTATGCGTTATCTTTTAATCTATTTAAACTACTTAGATTGTGCTAGAAAAAATCAACCTTAAAAATAATGACTTATAATTCAAATTGCGATTCTGCTTCGAAATATACATCTTTTACCCATAAGTACATAAGCCTTAGTCCAAACACTAGTTTATTTTTTTGAATGAAGTATTGATAATATTAAATTTATTGTTTCACTGTGTGAGTGAGGCTATCGAGACCCTTGTCCTTCCCCTCCTATTTTCAATCATTAAACTTTATATTTGTAAATCCCTAGACCCCCAATAACGCACTTGTAGCTGTTGTCCAAGTTAACCAACTAATCAGAGGATGAAAAGAAGTAACAGTTCAATCGCGTTAATGTAAAGAACTAGGCACCCTTTTTTTGTCAGGTGTAAATCAAATGACTTCTCCCGCCCAGGGCTAGGCGAGAGAGTGTCAGACTCTTACTGACTAAAAACACCCCGTTCCTTCTCCTGCTCTGGGCCGAGGCCGCGGTAACTCATTGCGCTTAACCCGCAACCCCGGCGAACTAGGCACCCTGATGGTAAGCAATCGGCGCCGTCCATGGCTCGGAACACCAAAGGAGTTCCGAGTGCGTTACCGACCTTTTAGGGATAAGGGTTTCGGATATTTAAGGATTGGGAAGGGATGGGGCCGACTTATGTACCTTACTTAGGTACTTACTTAGGTATGTATTTTAAGACTGAAATTCACATAGATATTAGAACATGAATAATAATAATATCAACTGGGTTCCTACTAGCAAACCACCCTAGCTTCGCACACATTATTGCACAAATTTCTCCACTACTTAATAAATGTTATTATACACATGAATCATCTTCAATTACTCTATTTATTAAAAAAACCGCATTAAAATCCGTTGCAGGGACAGAGAAATCAACTTCGTTTTATACTATTTAATGATAACATAAAGTAATATTAATTATAATATTTAACGGCTTACTCACGTAAATATTTGACGAGATAATTTGACTTGTTTCAAGTCATGCTGGGGGCTGCGCATAAGCTTGACTGCGCAACGTTAGCCGCGTCGTGTTTGCGCAATGAATGCGCCCTTAGCGCGAAATTTAAGTGTCCGTATTCAAGCCCCAGAAAAATCCAGTTTTAACCTGCTAAGTATGTAATACATGTCTAATTAATGATGAAATTGTCTAATTAGGTATGAAATACTAAATTATTGACTAACATTATGCAATATTAATATGTATAATCAAAACGATCGATGATAATGTAGTGATTTTCTGATCAAATTCCAATCTGCAACTGTGCGTGAAAACATATGAGTTATCTTTTCCGGGGATCACTTGTTATGACTTATGACACACCAAGAACCTATAATAATAATTCTTACACTCTTTTATCCAGTATTGCAAATCATCAAAGGACTTCTCTGGCCTAGGGTATGGCGAGAGGGATTGTTAGACTCATATTGAATAAAAACCACCCCGTACTTTCTTCTACTCCAGGCCAAGGATATGATACCTTATGGCGCTTGCCCCGTAGCCCGGTTGCAACATCTACTTTTTTGCCCCATATGTGGTGATCTGTTTCCTCGACGAGGCGCAAGCGTGGTGATTAATGCTCTAACCTTCTCCGTATGAGAAGAGGCCATTGTTCAGCAGTCGGCACTTATAGGCTGATGATGATATGATGATGATGATAAATAATACATGGCAATCTAGGTAAAGGCTTTATGACTGTCATAGATCTTACTGACATCATAGATATTACTTAGCATATGAATTATTAAGACGCCTATTACACAATTAATACTTTTCAAACTGCGAACAATTCAACATTTCCCAGCAAAACAAACAAAACGAATGACCAGAAAATACATAGTCAACTGTTTCGAAGCTCGTTTATTACGTCAAGATCTTATTGGTCGAGCGATGAAACTTGTGATGAATGCACCGGACACGCGGAAAATTGGAAAACGCGACGGTCACTAGCAGCGAGCCCCGCGGGACCAACTCGCAAAACTACGCTTTTGATTCGCAATTCAGAAGATTTCTCGAATGGAAATTCGTTTATTTTAAGTGGATTTCAGTCTACAACTAAGTATATTTTTGTTTGTATAGAATACGAGGAAAATTGGACTTTGAAATATATATAATTATTTCTAAGGTATATGCTTCCAAATAGGCTTTAACAGGCGTTCGAAAGTCTACTTTTTTGAGAAAATTTCATTCAATCTTTTCCCGGCTCGTGTTAAAAGTAAATGCTAGAAACATTCCATAAATCTACGTACCTATGTAGTTATTTTCAAAATAAAACGATGATATAACAAATGTATTGTAAGTTATGAACAAATATAATAACAATCAATACATTTTGGTTTTTCATTTTAGAGGTCCTAAGAGTCCTATACATAATCTGCCATAAGCAGTCTTCACGGACTTGATCGATTACGAGAGATCGTAGATCAAAAGGTGAATGTTTCTTAGAGAGCGCTGCTGTCCTTTGTCATCTCATTCAAATATGTAGATCCTGATATCTGGCGACACACGTGGGAAGTCAGCAAAGATGACAAAGTATTGTCACCTCTGGGTACATTTTTTCACATGAAATATGAATTTCTAGTTAAATTGATATTTCATGTGAAAAAATGTACCCTGTGATGGTTATAAAAAACCTGACCACTAAGTTTACACAAAATAAACGAGGGCCTACATCTTTTTCTGGAAACTTGTAGGCCCTCGTTGGATGCGATTTAAATTCCCTTGTCGCCGTAATCCTTGGGACGCAGTAAGTTCAACGTTCAATGTGTTTTACTAGTATACAACTCTGTTTTGTAAGCGTATACTTGCTATCCAACTTTCCTAAAATTTAGTTGTAAAGTTTTGTTGGGGTTACTTTAAGAGCGTTTGTATTGGAAATAAGATTCAGATCTAGCATTAAGATAACTGTTTGACTCCAATGACAAATTATGAGTTAAGTAAACTTGCGTTTATTTGGTGTTGTCGGTAAAAATACCGAATCATTTGGTTTTTCCTGTATCTCTAATAATCCTAAGTCTTATTATAATATCAATACTTATGAGCACACAGTAAGGACATTAAACTTACAATTCATTTTGAAATAAATACCACTTCCTTTGTTCAATTTGGTAAATACTGGCGTAAACCGAATATGGACGGAAAACTGCCGATGATTAGCAAAATGATGTTTGATTAGTGATCTAATCTATCCGCACAGATCATAAGATCTTTGTTGCTTATTAAATTGATTGTCTAGTTACTTATCTGGTATGACGATAGTGATATCAGTATAAAATTGAAGTATTTATACACATTTGAACCGTAATAGTAATTAATTAAGGAACAGGTAAAGATGTGGAAGTACTTGGTACTCTTGGTATACGTGTCAGTGAGTTCAGTGATCGCCGAAGAGGAATGGTTGCTCGTGAACATCACTCAAGGACCAGTCCGCGGCCGCCTCGAAGATGGCGTATATTCTTTCTATAATATTCCTTACGCCTCTGTGCCTACAGGAACTGATCGATTCAAGGTAAATTAACTTTATATGATGTCCACTTGTGTTGCATTTTTTTTTTATGTGATAGTACGGCAAGTGAGCTGACGAATTACCTGATGGTAAGCAATCGGCGTCGCCCATGGACATCTGCAACACCAGAGAAGTTATGGGTGCAGCCATTTGTGGGTTAGGGGTAAGGAGATTTAGGGATTAGCGAAAGGTTTTGGGGGAGAGGAAGCATTGGGGCTTCAGTAACCTTCCCTCACATGGTGAAAAACAACGCTGTTTGTTTCACGCCGGTTTTCTGTGAGGCTGTGGTATTACTCCGATCGAACCGCGACCATTGGCGGAGAAGCATGGTCCTCCCACACTTTAAATTTTCTCTAACAACGACAAAGCAAAATTTAAAGCAAAAGCAAAGTCAACGAAGACTGTTGGAGTTATATACTCCATCTGAATGTGAATTTCTCACTTTTTGCGCACTTGATTTTACAGGAACCAAGTCACATGTTCTACGGTTTATAGTTACGTTACCATTTACATCTAACATTTTGTCATAAATTCCAGGCCCCCCTTCCCCCGCCAGTTTGGCTGACCCCGTTCAATGCAGTCGATCGCAAAATCGTATGTCCACAAAATTGGAGGGATTCAAAGGAAGTGAATATCCACGAGAACTGCTTGGTGGCCAACGTATTTGTCCCTGACACGGAGGAGACTAACCTGCCCGTACTGGTCAACGTCCATGGTGGAGGCTTCATACTTGGTTACGGTCAACAATCAGAGTTTAAGGACATAGTAAGGAGCAGAAAAATGATTGTACTCACTTTTAACTACAGATTAGGTGTTCATGGTTTTCTATGCCTTGGAACTGAAGGTGCTCCTGGTAACGCGGGTTTGAAAGATCAGCTAGCATTTCTTCGTTGGGTTCAATCCAATATTGCTAGCTTTGGAGGTAACCCCGATGATGTAACACTTGCAGGTTGCAGTGCAGGATCTGGTTCCATAGACTTTTTAACACTTTCCAGTCTCACTAAAGGATTGTATACGAAAACTATACAAGAAAGTGGTGTCAGCATAGCAGGTGTTGGAGCTCAAGTCGATCCTATTGAGTATGCTAAAAGTTATGCCCGATTCCTGAACTTCCACAACGTTGATGATTTGAATAGCTTGGAAGAATTCTACAGGACGGCTCCCCTTGAACTACTAGTTTCAGGTGTGGATGAAATGATAAATACCAAGAATGTCAATATTCTATTCGGTCCGTGCGTGGAACGTGACATTGGGCAAGAGCGTGTTGTTACTGATGCTCCAATGAATATCATTAAACAAGGCAACTACACTCAAGTACCTAGGATTTATGGGTTCACTAACATGGATGGAGCTTTCAGACTCCCAGAATTTGATACTTGGAAGAATGATATGAATGAGAGATTCTCAGATTTCTTACCAGCTGAATTATATTTTGAGACTGAAGATATCAAAGAACAGGTTGCTCAAGAAATCAAACAGTTTTATTTTGGCAGCAACCCGGTTAGTGAACAAAACATTTTGGCATACATCGCTTATTTTACTGATGTCCTATTTGCTGTTCCAACATTAAGATCTATATCAACACGAATAGAAACTCTTGGTGACACGATATATTTATTTGAGTACTCGTTTGTGGATGAACAAACTCCTAATTTTCCTCATACTGACGTACGTGGTGCCAATCATTGCTTCCAAGAAGTGGCAGTCACAGACGAAGATGTGACTGATAGAACTGATGAGTACAAACAAATGAAAGAAATTATGAGAGATTACTGGACGAATTTTATGTTGACTGGGTAAGTACATTTTAACATTATTATCGTATAAGGCTTTTACTTCTATATAAAGATACTTGATTATGTATACAATAGTTTGATTAAAAAAAGTAATTAATAATAAGTTGAGATTGTCTGAGGACGACTTAGTTTGTAAGTATTTTCGTTTGGAAAATAGTGACTAGCTAAAGATTTCATCGTAGTCGAAATATATTGACGTTGTTGTATAATTTATTTGCAGTTCACCGTCAAACACCAACTCACCACTGCCGTACTGGCCACCAACGAATTCGCAACGGACTCCTCACATGTCTTTGGGTCGCCATATTGAACTTGGGACCGATATTATAAAGGACAGAGTAGAGTTTTGGGATACAATTTACGATAAATATTATCGTGGACCAGCGATTTTCCCTTCAAACTCTTAAACAGATCTCCTTTGGAATATTATTTGTTTCAAGTATACTTATAATTATAACCCATGTAAGCTATGTAGGCTAAATATTTTTAATGTGAATAAAACATATTTAATAAATTGTGTATTTATTTTTTTTATACAATCTCATATTAACAATTAAGTTATATTTGAAAATATAAGAAGAGGGCAGCTGGCAGCGGGCGGGAACATGGTCTAAGCTATCGATAGTTAGGACTCCAAAGACAGAAACCTCGTCTGTCTTCCGTAACAGGCTTTGCCCCTTCAGTTGATCCGAAGAGATTGAATATAATTATTAAATTTGCTGACCCTTTGTTAGTACCTACTACACTGCTATTACATTTATAAATTATCGGGTAAATCTATTTGTTGCCGCAGTACTTGTAAACGTTACATAATTTATTTACGAATTTCATTTGTTAATCTCATTGTGATGGGACATAAAAAGATGACATAAAAAGTTGATTTAAAGCTCCTTCACATTACGTTTTTGCTATTTTGAGCAAAAATTAAATTAAGTAGTTAGTTCCGGAGTCAAATCAAGGATATGTAGGAAAATGTGTATTCGTCGTCGCCCACTTCTCAAACAGATGTCTAGCCGGGGTAGCGGATGCAAGCACAATAATGAACTGCGCCCTTTCCCTGAGTAGGAGAAGTAATGGGGGTTTAGTCTGATACTCCCTCTCGATCCACTCAGGGAGGAAGAAGTCATCTGATGATTGTCAATCCTCAAAAATATTGTAGGTTTTTTTATGGTATAAGTCGGCAAACAAGCCGACGGATTACCTTACCTTAACGAGCGCCGCCCATGGACACCCGCAACACCAAAGCAGTTACGAGTGCGTTGCCGGCCTTTTAGGGATAGGGGTTGCGGAAATAAGGATAGGGAAGGGATTGGGCCTCCGGTGAACATGTCTTGAGATAAGCTTACGAGACAGCACTTGTAAAGCAGGTCTAATATAATAAAATACATTTGGATAATCACATATTTTTTATTGCCATTGTTTCGAAGATATTTGCTTATCTATATGAGTACATTTCTAATATGTATATTACAAACACGTGATTTTACATAGAATCCGGATGATGATGATTATGCTAAAAAAGCTGACTGATTGTTCAGTCTTTTTATGGTATTTGTTGCAAAATGTGATACGTATGTATCTATGAGTACAAATTTAATATTTTCATAAATAAAAGTACTTATATCATCATAAGTACCCACTGCTGGGCACAGGGCCTCTTCTGACACGGATAAATTTCGAGTAATAAACGCCACGATTGTTCAAGGCAGATTAGAGATTTCGACCTTATAATTAGAAAATATAAGACAAGATATCCTCGAGATTTTTTTTCACTGTCTGTCAGGGTTGTGTAAATATATTAAGAAAATACCTACAATAACTAGGATAGCTACAACATACATAGGCTACTTTTTACGCTGGCAATGTGGAAGAACCGAAGAGTTTGTATTTGAATTGACGAGAGAGTTACAGAGGTTAATATTTCTGATAAAAATGTAAAGTATAAAAAAATATCTTGTTAGAAATAGGCTGGACCTCTTATCTAAATCGCTTCATAACGATTATGGATTTTCATACTCGTTCTTCTCCAATATGTACTTTGGAACGAGCACGTAGCTTCATTGACTAACGGACGGATTTAATTACCATTCTATTTTGATGTTTCTTAAGTACCCAGTTTATGGTTTAGTTGGAATAAATTATTTCTAGAAATAGTTAATTTACCAAAAAATGTAATATCAGCGTCAAATGGGAACTAAATTGAATTATGTTATTAGTTTTTCTGTGTACATGTAATTACATATGTTTGTTTGCCCGCAAGTTTTTTCTTAGTATTGTCCTAACATGTGTTTGATATATGAACGTAATTCTTTCTGTTTGCGAATTTTGAACTTTATTTACAGCAAAAAGCGTTTTTAAATCGTTCATCAATATTTTTATTATTAAAGGATCTTTTGTGTTGACTTTAGTTATATTTCAAAACTTACCCATATTTATGGGAAACAGTTTTGAAATTACTATCAACTTGGTATCATTAAATAATGACACCAAGTTGATTCAATGCAGGAATACTCGTAGAAACCAAAAAAAACTATTTATACGGATAACTTTATTGCCGGTTTTAATATACTTAAATGATTGACGAATAAGAAGTACCAGCTACAAAAAAATGGACATGTACCTATACGTTACTTAAATGGTACATAGATTATTGTAAAAATGGGGAGTTGTTGAAGGCGGTTCTCTTTCATTAGGAAATTAAAGTCAGTCGCGTAAAAGTTGTGTATTTCTACATACCACAATAAGATGGTTCGGTCGCCGGCAACAGTTGCGCAACCAAGTTGCCACCATATTTTGATAGCACCATGAAACTGTGTACATTTTGTTGGTACCATGACTTGGTGGTATGATCATGGTGTCCTAATGAAGCAGGGCTTTAAGGATAAATGTTTCATTGAAGATACTGAATGCGGCTTTCTCATCTCTAATGATAATTGCATTGTAATGTATGTATAATATACAAATTATAAGAACAAGTGTGTATGTCTATTTATTATAATATTGTGATAAGAAAGCAAGAATAAAATGAATGCCAATTTATTTATCATTTTATTTACCCCCGTCAGTGCTAATGATTGACACCGAATATCAATGGTCATTGTTGTTCTTGTGGAGATAAATTGACTATCTTTTGAGATAATGGTATCATCACATGATTCTCAACACGTTTTATAAACTATCTATCTATACTATATTGACGCACGTTTATTATCTACGTATTCACTTTAAAATATACAGTAGATCTACAGTAGATAACCTAAACAAATAAAAAAATCAAAACAAAACAGACTGTTCTGTTTTAACTGATCTTTTTACACTTATTTACACAAAAATTGATTGATTTTCTTATGGTAGGTAAGCAACCGGCGTTGTATCATGGAATCCAGCAGCGCGAGAGAAAAGTGCTTGGCTGGTCTCGAAATTGGGGATTTGGAGATTTGGGGGTACTTATAGGACTAGGTGATGAGACGAAGAATTGGGCATCCGGGTATTAAGAGTAAAAGATGTCAAAGTAAACTACCAACACCGACAGATGTTTGTTAAGGTTTTGAGTTTCAAGAATTCCCAAAAAATAATTACGTGATATAATATCCAAATCGACAAATACCCAATCAATATATGTATATCTATGAAAAGATACTCTTTCCTCTTTATTTTTATTTTCGAGAAAAAAAATTACAATATTTGAGAACAGAAGACGGCATTATTCTCAAAAATATAAATATGATCTATGAAGTTTGAAAGTGGCGCCAGTGACAAAAAAGTTGAAAGGGAACTGTTTGTCTTGGTATGGCCATGTGAAAAGGAGGGATGAAACGCATGTGACAAAAAAGCCATGAGTATAAATGTGGATAGATGGAGAGGGAGAGGGAGATCAAAGAAAATATGGATGGATTGTGTGAGAAATGATATGGAAGACGGAGGTGTCAGTGATAGCGTAACAAGTGACAGGACAGAATCAAGATGGAAGTCAAATACCGGCATTTTATGACTAAATATAGATTAATAAAAAATATAAATAAGTAGGTATAATAAATATATCACATATAACATATGTAACACTCGGAAAGACTCGAAACAATAGGAAACAATATTCGAAGTGCAGATAATAATTAGGTTGAGAGACGATCTCCGGCACCGTAAGCGCGGGTCTGCGGACGCCCCGGACGGCGAGTAAGTAAGTAGGGTTGCTCGCCGCCCGACCAGAACCGAGCGGACTGCGTGTAGCGTTCCGCGCGTGTTAAAGAGCCAATAGACCACCACAGACGGGGCCCCATAGGGCTGATGTACAGCCGGGGTTGCGGATTAAGCGCAATGAGTCACCGCGGCCTTGATCCAGAGCAGGAGAAGGGACGGGGGGTTTTTAGTCAGTAAGAGTCTGACACTCTCTCTCGCCTTACCCTGAGCAGGAGAAGTTATTTGATGATTGTCCCTTGTCAAAAAACAGGCATGAAAACTTTAGATATACGTTGTACCTACTAGCAAAGTAGGATATAGTACAAAATCGACTTTTACGACACGTCGATAGACGCTAATAACATAACAAATTACAATTCAAGACAAAGAATTTTGGACTTCAAACAACCGATAGGTATTACCAATATATTATTATTACGCGAAAGGCGTTATCTAACAATGTTGTCCATATTTCATGTGGAACCCACTTTTAGGATCAACATTGCTCGCCCATTGTTGGAAAGTCGATTTAAAGTAAACAATGACACGGGATATCGCGATAATGCTGGCGAATTTCACTACGGAACCGAGGGTCACCATTGTTATTCGGGATAATAAACGGTACATGTAAAATAAGGTGAACGTTCTTTTTGTTCAACGAAACGATATCGTAAGGACCAAACCCATCTAACCTTTATTTATACAATGGGATGCTAATAATTTTCTGGATCTATATAGAATGAGGTCTTAATTAATGGCATGCCCACGTGTCGACATTTTCGCTTGCGCTGCAACTCCGACTGGATGGGCCCCATCTGTGGTGGTCTATCATCTCTTGATCCCCGACGCCCGGAGTATCTCCTACTGCAGCGGCTGGGGCGTGAGGAAGAGGATAACTCCCTCTTGCGGTCCGTCTCCTTCTTTGCGAGCATTATTGCTTCACAGAAAGAGGAGATGGCTTCCCAGTTCCTCTCGCTATGCACCATGGTCTCGACTAAGGCCGGGCGCGAGAGGTCGCCGCCGCCTATCGCTTCCCCGAGGAGACAGCGGTGCTCAGCCCAAGTAGGGCACAACGCTACCGTATGCTCCGTATTCTGAACACATACTTAAATCTCAATCTTAAACCTGAACCTTAGTTTAATACTCTGTAGATACATATAGCCAGTCCCTTACTGACGTAACGACCGGATAAACATGATGTTTGCTATTAAATTTGAGTGAAAATCGAAGTTCCCTACCAACAATAAACAGGATGTGGAAGGCACCTAAGTATACAGTTAGTTTACCCGGT